CAGCAGATGAGATATAGCAATAAAGATGCTGAAGTCACCCTTTTGTTTAGTATAAGTTGAATGATGGTGTGCTTATAGAGACGGTTTCACCTGGAGAGCAACCACCTCCTCACTGTGCAGATGGACCGACTTCTGCCCTAAAGGCGAGAGGCTCAGGTCAGAGCCCTTGCCAGCCACCTGCAGTAAATGTGGCTCTGCCTCAGAGCCATCTACACCAACGGCCTGCAGGGTCCTAAAACAAATCATTTCCTAACTGGTTTAATTTGGGTCCTGTGAGGTGCCGGTGTGTCGGGGCAAGCCATCCACAGATCCCAGAGAGGTGGGAGCACAGAGCCTTAGAAACAGGCAAAAAGGTGGCCTGAAATGGAAGGGGAAAAAAAAAAATAAAAAATCAACAGACAGCTTTGAAAAATACTCCTGTCATACTTTTACCTTAAGTAACGTATTCAGTTGTTAGAGGCTGAGGTGAGAAAGCCAAAAAAGGCACTTGGCATTATTTCTCACCAAAATCTTCTAAGAAATGGTCCATTTTCCTCTGCAAACATATTTCCTAAACTGTCTTTTAAAGGGCTTGTTTTTCCTTTTTGTTTTCCTTTCCTCCACAGTAGCTCTTAAAAATCCCAAGTTGTTGCTCTTAAAAATTATTATTTCCTTAAGAAAAGGATCTGTCCAAAAGAATCAGGGGAGAGGAAGGAGACAGAAAAATCTCAATTTGAATTCTGCAAAACCAAATATTTTGATTAAATATCTGCAGTCACCTTCTGGAGGTGTAAAACCCACACCGGGTGACCAGTCTGGATTGCAGCTGGCCCGTCGCTGCCTGCCCCTACCACCCATAGGCACCGTGAAAGAAGAAAGAAGCCAAAAGCTGGAGAAATCCACAGGGCCAGTAAAAAAAAAAAAAAAAAAAGAGTGTGACAGTTTTGCTAAGCAAAAGCTAGCCGGCAATAATTTATGGCAGGCATGGGATTTTCTGGATGGGGTTTAGGATTCTGCATGCTGCACTGCGTCAGCGCTGGAGCATCTCTGGCTGGTGAGGAGGTGCTGAGCTGGTGGCCACCGAGGCAGCCCAGATGGAGATCAGGAGGAGCCGGGTTGCAACCTTGTGAGAACATCGCCCACAGGGAACCAGCAGCCTCGCTGCCTCCTGAGCCACTCTCCATCACGAAGAGGACAATTCCTGCTTGCAGCAAGGGTTTAAAAGCCAGGCAGAGGATGCTGGTAGTAGCTTGGCAGGACACAGGCTATCTCAAAAGGACTATGAAATTATACATAGAAAACAAAAGAAAAAATAGGTTTTCATTATTATTTCCCAGTGTGTTAGGTTCCTGAGAAGCTGGCAAACAAGTGCTCCACAAATTTTCTGATGTGAGCTCCCACAGCTGATCATGCCAAATGCCACGGGCCAGGCTGTTCGGAACAAGTCCCTCCTGCCATTCAGTAGTCCTGGAGATGGTCTGACTCGGTGGTTTTTCAGCCACACTGTTTTTTTTTTTTTTTTTTTTTTTTATGTTTCTCTAACCTGCTCCCCACTCTTCTGTTTTTTTTGGTTTTTTTTTTTTTATGTTTCTCTAACCTGCTCCCCACTCTTCTAGGCTACAGCTCCTGATCTTCCATCGTGTTGAGCAAGTGGGTGGTCCATTTAAGACAAGCACCATCCTTAAGTCTCAACCCTCCATCACCCCAGTGGCAGCATGTCCTTCTCAACAAACACACCCAAGGCAGACTGGAGTTGATCCTCTTCAGCAATGTTTCTGTTCTTGGATATGGTTTTTGAGGGTGAGTTTGGCCTACAAGCAACGGAAAAATAACAGCAGCACGAACTGCTCTGGCTCTATGAAAGTCACAATCACCCTTGGGAAGTCCCATCCCGTATCGGCACACAACGTGCAGCTCCTGCCCCAACACCTCACGCGTGCAAGCTGGCAAAGTGCCCCTTTTGGCCCTCCTTCATCCCCGTGTGTTGGTGAGCAACCCTCCCGCAGCAGCTGGCTGCTCCTCGCACTTTGCCTAATTAAAAGGAGAGATGAAACTGCAGCCAGAGGAAATTCTCCCAGATGATCCATCCCCGTAAGCGCGGCCAAGCCTGGTGGCAGCAGGTTTCAGACCAGCTTGCTATGAGCATCCTGCACTGCCCCCAGAGGGTTTGGGATTGCAGGATAGTGGGGCCAGACAGCACCACAGAGCTTAATGTATTTGCCTTGGGAGAAAAAACAAACTGATGCAGTGGTGGAAGGTGCAAGTCTCTTGCACAACACGGCTTGTCAAAAGGAGCCCCATGAGCTTGCCTGAGGAATAAGCTGTTTTGGAAATACACTAACCCAGCTCCAGCCCTGCCTTCCTGCGCACGTGCAAGATGCAGCCTCAGCCCCTGCACACGGAGAGCCTGCATTCGCTACGAGATGAGACTTTACGCAATGCCAGGCGAGCATTCCTTCCGATCAATAAAGAAGTGGCATTGACAGAGAACAGTCCCGCCAGGATTTCTTTAAAACATGAAGGCTGGGGGCCGTGTGAGACGACATTTCGTGTGAAGCAAGGGAAAGAAACAGCCTGTGGGACAGGGGAGGATTGGGGGCAAAAAAAAAAATGGAACGGGCCTGCAGGGTAGTGATGGCAAAGTTATTAAAAGGAAAGAAAATTCACTACGGGAAAATGCTAGCACTCCAGAGCGGTTCTCGAGGTAGTATAAATCAGCATCATGTTGCTGTGCTCGATTTATGGCAGCTCCAGGCTGGGCCACATGCTCTCAGTGCTGCGTGCTCCAGCAGAGGAGGAATTTGGGTACAGCTGTGAGGCTCCAGTATAGACATTCTTACACTGGGCAGGTGTTGGGGGGGGCAAATGGCAACGTCACCGTCACAACGCCGGTGTTTGGCTATCTCAGAACTTGAAAAGGAAAAATCCTTTAGTTTTGTTTCCACCTCGTAAAGTCCTCATAGCACTGATGAGGAAGACAGAACCTGAATGCGCATTTTTGGAAAGCACGCTGAATTATCCTCTGGAAAAAGCAAGTCTCTGAATGCAAGAGGCTGCTTCGTGCTAGAGTTAAGAGTACAGAAACCCACATATATGATACTTCATTGCTCCGTAGCCAATTTTGTTGATTAGAATCATTAGGATATGAGAAGAAAATAGTTAATGTGCTGTAACCATTCTGCAAATGTTAGAAAATCTGCAATCATATGAAACTAATTTTAAATTAAATGGGATGGTCTACAAATTACGTGCAAAGGATTGCTACAAAAGGCACTGAGACAGGCAGGCAAGCAACACACAGACCAATACCCTGCCCAGGACAAAGGGTGGCTAGGAGAACACAGGTGGCTCACATACCCAAAGAAAATTACTTCTGAGAACCGATGTGAAATGAATGCTGACTAAATTTCAGCCTTCTGAAGGCTCACTCAATCTTGACTTAGTAGGGTGCCAACATTACCACCTCTGGAACAGACAGCAGGAGGATGGCCACTGGCCACAGGGCTACCTTCAACTTGAATGGATGTGGGGATGCGAGCTCGCTGCAAACCCCTTCCGTGAGTGGGAGCTGATCAGCCAGCAAGGCCCTGGGGAGCTACAGGTCCTGGAAGCTTCCCTAAACAGCCTGCTCCCACGTTTGTCGCCTGTTTATAAAAGTTTTTCTCACCTCAGCTCTGATGTATGCAGCACGTGATGTGCAGCCACATGGAGACTTCGGGGCACAGCTCAGATACGCCAGCAAGAAGCCCATTTTGTCCTAAGAAAAAAACAGGGAGGAGTATTCACGCGCCCCTTTAAAATATCAAGGCAGAAATTATTAGTTGGCAAGACTACGACAGCAAAGCAAACATAGACTTTGGGACTGTTGTTCTGTTTTTTTCCCCCCCCTTTAAATCATAAATATGTTTGAAAACAAAGCAGAACACAATGAAAACAAATATACAGAAGTAGCACTTGCCAGAAGGTCCAGTGTTATACTACGGTGTTTCACCCATTTTTCGACCCTCTCGTTTCTTGCCTGATTTGTACAGTAATGTTTTTCTCCCTCTCTCTCTCCAGAACTCATGTTATAATCCTGCCTTGAGATGCTCGTCTATGAGTCCACCACTCAACAAGCCATTTATCCTACTGTTCAAACATCCATCCAGACCTCGGGAGGACGGTGAGGAGCGGGAAGGGAGAGGAGAAGGAAGCACTTCTGTTGCTTTAACACTGGTTATAAACTACGGAGGGTGCTGACATGCATCAGGGAAACGCCTCGCACTCCTGTCCCTTTTCTCCTCTCTTCCCCAGGAGCTGTACTTCTGAGAGAGAGCTGCTTTTCAAAGACAACGTCATTTAGGGTCTTCAGCTAAAGGAGAATTGTGCGTGTTGAGGTCCTTAGCAGTTGGTCTGTTACCCCAGCAACAGATTCCGATCCTGGGGAAAATGAGCTGAAGTCTAGAATAAACTACTCCCCTCACTGGAGCATCAGAAGTGCCAGTGTCATCAGCCCGACCCCTGCCACACGCTCTGCCCAGCCCACCTACCTCTCCCCTGCCTGACCCTGCTTCCCCCACCAGCATCCAGGAAAACCTGTGCCCAGAAAGCTTCCTTCCCTTTGCGACCACCTGCCTATTACTTAGCAAAGCACGTACCTGTTAGCAGCTATTATCAACAGATTATTCTGATCAAACACCAAAAAAAGGATTTTCTGGAGCCGATTGCTATAAGTGCAATCTCTCCTATATTACCTCTTCCAAACCATCCCCTTCCTTTCCCACAGACCCATACATAACTCACAAAATGAAAATATCTTAAAAGGCAGCAATTTTTTTTATCCACTCCATCCCTTCTATCTCCCATCTGCTTCTCCAGCTATTGGACTGCAGTAAAATCTGATTTTAAACATGAAGCTGACACTGTAGTCTCATTCCCTTCAGCCAAAATATGAAAAATAAAAAGCAACCCATATAAATATTTTATCACAGCAATAGATAAATCTATCACAATAATGATTTTGACAAATAAGCAAAAAAATGTCGAGGTTTACAGCAGTTTAATGAAGGCTCTTGTACCAAATCTTGAACTCGAAGTTACAGAGTTATTGAAAAAAATAACTTACAATAAAAAAGCTGATGAGAATTGCCCATCTAGACATGGAATTAACTGCGTTTGAACGCTGTGCTTAAATACTCACCACACAATAGAAACGAATTTAAATCACGACTAAGGTACACACAATTCACTTCCATTCTGTTTTCAATTACATGCATTCAGCATGTAATTTAACCCCTGGAAGTTACTCTGAAGAACACAGAGGTTTGGTGGGGTTTTTTTGTTTGTTTTTGTTTGTTTGTTTTTTTTTTTTAAATACTCACTGGAAATAAATACCACTTAAAGAATACACGTGGAGTGCAATAAAATGGACACTTAGGCACTGGTACAGTCTAGCCATCTTCATCCCTCTACAAACTACAAGACAAGAAGTTTTAGATCACAGATGGAGTGGAGAGCAGGGCGAAGCTGTACAGGCAGCACAACAGGTTATGTACTACACAAGAGCACATCTGCAAAAGGTCCCAGGAGATTTTTGTTGAAGATGCAGCGTATCCACACCAGGTATATTGTGAAGGGCTTAATGTTTTCTGAGAAGGTGTGATTCTGATGGGACAATATATAAGGCATGTAAGTGTTTTCCCCTTGCTCTTGTATCCACACTTCGTATTTCACTTCTCTGACCTTGAGATACTTCAGGTTCCAGGGGATCTGCCAGGACACGGCAAGCTTAGCTTCGCTCGTGCCCTGGACAGAGGCTTGACACTTGGCATCCCTCACTTTGCCAGGGTAGAGGCTACCAGACCACTTCTGCTTCTTGGGCCCGGGCTTAGACTTCACCGTCTGCCTGATCACGTGGATGAGAGACGGGATGTTCACCTTTGTGTCCTGGTAGGCACGGAACAGCCACTCGGGGTTGCGGCAGCAGAGGTGCCGCGGCACCTCCGTGCTTTTAATGATGCGCTCTTGCTCAGCTTTGTCCAGATGAGCAATCCCACCCTGATCCCAAGGTCTGTCCGGGTAGGTAACGGTGTCTTCCCTGTCGGTGTTCTGCCAGGCAACGTACTGCAGGTCCATGCCAGGAAGCGTTGCCAGGGTTTTGTAAGGGGTATAGTGTTCAGGGTTGATAGCATAAGGAAAGAGCTCCACCACCGTGGCACCTCTTGGCAGGAAGAGAGACATGACTAATTGGGCCCCGTGCATGCTGACCAGCATGGACGCGTTGCTGATCAACCGGACGATGTCAGAAAACGAGTGCTCCTCCAGAGAGACGGTAATGGTTTTCATCTGAAACTCCTGAGCGAGAGCCAGGATTAGTTCTGCCTCATTTAGGATTAGTCTGTTGATCGTTCGACTGAACACTACGATGTACTCCTCACTGGAGCTTTCCTCCAAGCTGATGTTCAGCTTCTGCATCATGAATTTGGTGAACTGCCTGATCTCATTACCAGAAACCAAGATGTTAGCCTTCGGCCCTTGCGGCTGCACAAATCCATACTGGTACCAGGTGGTGATTTTGGACAGTCCCACGTATGATTTGGTAAAGCAGAGGAGCCTGCCCAGGGTTTTAAGCTGCTCCCTGAGGAGCGGCTGCTTGTTACTCAGTAACTTGTAGAGGTCAAAGTGAACACCTTCACTCCACCCTTCCATGAAGAAGAGCCGTGCCTCCAGATCTAAATCCGAGAACTGCCGCATGGTGTAATAAATGGGGAGCAGGTCATCATGAAAGACGTGCATCAGGTTGTCTGGGTTGAACCTGTTAGCTATCAGCGCCACATCAGGCACGAAGACCGGCTTTGGCATAAATTTCAGCGCAGCAGCTGGCAGCTCCACAAAGTTGAAGTACTGGGTGTTGTGATCTTCCACCGAGGAGAGGTCGAGCAGAGCCGGCTGGAACCTCCGGGAGCCCAGGTTGGGCAGCATGACTGAGGAGTTGCTGTGAAAGTAGATGAACTCCTCAGCCTCAGTAGAGTAGCAGAGGGACTCAAAGCGGCAGATGCGGTCGGTGTGCATCCTGCCGGTGCACACCATCTTGGTACCGTCCTCCACCAGTGCCTGGAGAGCTGCATGGTAGTCAATCTGAACCTGAGAGAGTTCCTGAGACTGACGCGTGAGAACCAACTCCTCTTCCACCATGAAGACATGCTCTCGCAGTCTGATGTATTTCCACAGCACAGCAGCGAGGACAGACACGAGCAGGGCATTAAACACAGCTGCTATGTTCATTCTGTAGTTAGATCCTAGCAAGACGACAGGTGGGGAATGCAATGGAGAGGGAACACATCATTAACACTCCTTGACATGGTGAGGGCAAATACCTGTGGAAAATGAAACGAGAAAGGTACCATTTAAACATCAGGTTTACAGCTCCACCATAAATCACATTTTATGGACTACTCGGAGAGAGTTTAGGCTTTGTTCGGTAATTTTTCCCCCTTCCAGGGAACAAGGGAAAAGAAGAAAAGAATGCCAAAGCATGACCCAAAACTGTAAAAAAAATAAAACAAACAGAACTGGGAGTTGCTCTGTGGGAAGGCTTCCTCTCCCATTTTCATTTCTACTCTTTTGGAGGAGAAAAAATAAGAGTTTGAAGATGAGCTCTGTGAAGGTTTGTCAGAAAAAATGGCATGTTCCCTGGGGCTCTGGCTCACTCTGCTCTTTGCAGACCACTCCAACAGTGAGGGGAAAGAGAGCACTGCAATCACCGGGCTACTCGCACAGGGTTTGGGAGACCTAGTTCCTTCTCTTGATCTGCCACAGGCCTTTTGCGCGGCTGCGAGTGCTCAACTCTACCTCTCGCCTTTACCGTGCAGAGAGTAATAGTACAAGGAGAATTTCCAAGTATAGATTTTGCTACAGTCCATTCCAATATGAAATGTGAACTGGTGAAAATAACATTCAATTTAATGTTATTGGGTGGTGCGGGGGAGGACTCGCAGGTCTATGGACTGCCCTGCGGGAGACTCCCAAGTCACTCGGTTGTTTCTTTGGCTGCACTTCGGGATCAAAGGCTAGGAGCTGCCATCGTCTTCCAAAAGAAATATTGGCACGGGAGAGAGGAGAGATCTGCTCTTTATGTTTCATTAAAGCAATCAAACTTTCATTTAGTGAGAGTCTGACTCGCACCAGCACTGCCAACCCTTATACAAATGGGAAGGTATTACATTTGAAGTGTTTCCAGCGTTGGTGTTTTCCCATCCCGACCTGAGAATCTTTTCTGTGCTGCTACAAGGCCTCCCTGTTTCTTTTTCTGTTATGGAAGAGAGCGTGCCACTGTTGTCTTTCTAGGTAGAAACACTACTGGCTTATATCAGAGTATTGATTATATTTTCAACTGTGAACTTCAGTTGAGATATTGATTCACCTACAGTATATCGGGGCTCCAATTTTCATTATGCATCCAGGTTCGTTGCTAGTCAGGCTGTAAATAATTGCAGCCATGACTCATGGGGAACTTTAGGAAAGGAAATTTCTGATTGGTATATACCCAAATAGACTGTTCCTAGCTGCAGTTTTTAAAGGCAGCAATTTAAACTCCCTTTGATGCAAGTTTGCAGGGCGGGAAAAAAAGCAATGTTTCAAGCACATGCTCTGACATCCCATGCAATAGTCCCTTAGCATTTTAACCCAGAGATGCTTGTTCTTATATGATAGGGTGGAGGAAGACAAGGCATATTTAGGGCCAATGCAAACACCTCCTCTACCACCAAGGGAGTTATTTTGAAAAGAGATATTGCAGCTTAAAAGCTGGATCCTGCAATCCGGTTCATGCAGCTTGGAATTGAATGGAGAACCATTCATGGAATTCAATGAAGTTAGAAAGTATCCCTACAGCTCATGAGATCCCAACAGCCTGCAGGATCCCTGCCTTGGAAAGAACTGCAGGTATGTGGGAGACCGAATAATGCCAAAGGAAGGAGTGCTAGCTGTAAGCCACACAGATTCAAGAGGTTGCCTCTGGGGATCTGCCCAACAAATTCATTTCAATTTCAGAGCAGCTCTAGCTACTCAGATGAAACAGAAATGAAGTCCACCTCCTTTGGCAAATGGTCTGAAAAACTGCCTCATTTAGCAACTCCCTAAAAGCAAACAGCAAATTAAAAATGCGGTGTTTTGATTTCAGCCATGGAAAAGGAAATGGGAAGGGAGTCAGAGTGGTCATCTAATTACCAGGGCAGGATCAGCTCTCCCAAAACCACTCCCAACAGATGCTTATCTATCCCGTTCTTACTACTCATTCATCTTTTCAGCCAGCCTCTAGCAAGAAAGTCATGAAAGACTGTGACAAACTTTTTTTCCTAACACCCTGCCTTCGTTTCCACCACAGCAATTTAAACCTGGTCTTGTCCCAGGTGTCACAGATCCTGCACGGACAAGTGATGGCTGTCACATCACCTCTCGATCTTTCCTTCTCTATAACAGGGGTTGAGTGCTGCTCCTGATGGCTTTGCAACTCTCAACCATGGCTGTTCTGTGACAGCCTCGAATGGAAACCTACAGGGGACAGCTGTATATCACTCAGGCTCTGCTAACGCAAACAAACTGGTTTTCAGGAAAATAAATTTTTGATGGGGACAGATCTTACTTTTTTGGTACCAGACTTCCAAAGCTTCCTTTTACTTCTTCACTGGTTTTGAAAGACATCTAACAATATCATCGAACTCTCCACATAACCTCTCCAGTACAGACCTCTCATCTTGCGAGCACAGCTGTAAAAGACTTCAGCAGCATCACCAAGGAAAGGACCGAGATCAAGCAACCACGTGCAAAGCCTGCTTGTGAGTACACAAAGGAGACCTTTAACAATCAAGTCCTCTGCCACAAGCACAAATGAAGGCCAGTCCACGGGCATTGTGAAAGTTAACTACTGCAGGTCAGAGAACAAAGAACATACAAGTTCAACAGACTCAGAGCAAGTTGTGAGAACTTGGCAGAGAGGGAAAACCACATGGCCTCTTTATTATTCCAGTACAGCAGGGAGAGTGTGCATGTGTGGGTGTTTCAAAGGCATCAGAAGCCAGCAGTCCATAAAAACACCACTGATACCACCTGCATTTCACAGGCATCTCAGTGGTAGAGAGTTCCGCCGACCATTACAAATCCCTTGAGCCTAACAGGCCTCCTTGGAAACAGCCTGTTCTAATGTTTCACCCCTGACTGATTTGTTCTCTCCCTTCCAGCCCCAAGGGAAGGGCATAAGAGGCACTTCAGAGATGCAGCCTGATGGATGCGGCCAACGTTCGGAGGTTAGCAATTTTCATTTCAGACTCTGCTACAGCAGTACCCACTAAATGGCTACAAATGAACAACTCAGCTTTTTAATAAAAATCACCTGCAAGGCCCTCCTCCATCTCTTCTTTCACTTCCCTGCACTTAGCTGAAGTGAGTGCATGTGCTTTAGCCAACCAGGTGTCAGGAATGAATGTTAAAAGCTAGCAATGCTAAAGGAATCCATCTTCATTCCTGTTCCTCGTTGCTAGTTTGTAAATCCTGGTTCATGCTGCTTGGCTGAAAGCTGCTTTTGATGGAAGTGAACAAGGGGATGTGGAAGGGGAAGGAAGATGTGTCACAGGCAAAACTGAAAGGAGAATTTCACAGGTACTCAGGGAACTGTCGTAATTCTTTGCCTGTTTTCCCACATTTTATCATCCACCTTTTTTTTAATCTGACACTTTCAGTGAACACAGACCTTAGAAAACTAAAATCTTTGGTCCTTCAGGGAGTGACGGAACATAAATAGTAACAAACCATCCCACTGTTTGCTTTTACATACCCAGGAGAGGCTGCACCAAAGTGCTAAAGGCAAGCAGTCACTCTCCACGTCCCCTCGTTCCTCAGTCCCCCAAGCTGAGATCAGTCATTAAGCCTTGTCAGCCGCGGAAGTCCTGGGATGGGAAACTTTCCCAGGAGGCAGCCTGTAAGTCTGAAATAGGTGACAATGTTTAGTCTTCCATCTGAAGAGAGCTGTTTTACAATATAAGAAACTTTCATTACTAAATGTCCCTCACAAAGTGAGTCTAGAGCTGCCACTCACATGCCTCCTCCCATGGTTTCATCGGAGAATGTCTTAAGAACTGGAAAGCACTTGCAGAAGCGGCAGGCCAGACACATGGCTAATTCCCTTAAGAGCAGAGTCCTCTGAGTTGCTTCTTTCTACATATAGGTCAGCACCTAGGCTGTTCACACCCCCAGCTGCCCACAGACTATCTCCTCCCCAGCCCTACGACACTCACCCACCCTCTCACTTCCCAGTGACAGGGGGATAACCACGGCTTTGCTCCACACGGGCAATGCGTCCCAGTTACCAAGGAAATTGCATGGACTGACACTTTTTTTTTTACTCTCTGCTTTGAAATGCTAAAGCACCATCTTTCAGCAACAGAAGACGAGACAGTTGAAAGGCTAAAGCATAGCCAGAAAAGACATGCACGTAAAAGCAGCACAGAGCTCCTGGCTGCCAAGCTGGCAGAGGGCAACCAGGCCCCATGGGAGGGCACGGGACGTGCCCCTGAGGGTTCCTGATGGGGAGACTGAAGTGGCAGATCTCCCCGGCAGCAACACTGACAGGGTGGCTGTCAGAGGTGGGGAGCTCCACACACACACACTGGTGCAGGGGCAGCGCAGGACTTTGCAATGGAAATAAGAGGATGTCCTGAGGCTGGCAGCTCAGCCACAATGCACGCCACTCCAGAAGCTAAGAGCCTGAGGGAGGGACTTTATTTTTCATTAGCTCATCTTTGCTCTTTTTCCAAAAGAGATCACGGGCATGAAGGGCTTACCCCATTCTCTTCCTCCATCCCCACTCATTTAGCAAAAAGGTTACAGCTTCATCCTCTCAGCACAGCTACTGCTTCTCTAACTAGCACTGACTACCTGTGAGCAGGTAAAGCCTCAGCAGGTGCTCCTGGCAGAGCCCTCCAGCATCTTGCAGGTCTGTAGTACTTTCACAGAAGTTTGGTCACAGTAGCGCCTTCTGCCTGTTAGCTGCCAGTCATCTGATGTTTTAAACATTCTCAGGAAGTGGGAAAGCAACAGGAAGCATAGATGGAGATGCTGTTCTTCATCTCTTGTTAACATGTCGAGGAGATCAGAGTGGGTGGGATGGGAGAGAAGGATTTCTACTAATAGGCAGTTGGCATAAAGGACTGTTTGGACTCATTTAAGAGACGAGTTCTGCTGTTCTTTTTTTAATTGTGAAGCTAGGGTAGGATGAATCACTACTTTATAGCTATTAATATGATGTACAGTGTTTTAAGTCTCTTCTCCATTTTAAAAATTACAAGCTAGGTAAGGAACTAGGAGAAAAGCTACAAAGCCC